TCACTGACCTGAGCTCCAGTTCCCAGGCCTATATGCATTTCACATAGGGCTTCACAGAATGTACACAATGACAAAAGTAATAGAAAGCCATGGTTGTGTATGGCAAGCTTGGTATGAAATACCAGAGCTTGGCGTGCTGAGGCACTCTTTAGTTTTTAAGAGCTGGAACTGGACACAGTGCCACCAAATGTTCCCCTAGGTACTTCATAAATGTCACCACCTTTGAGCATCACAAAAAGCAACACTAGAGTGTTGTGGCTGTTTCTGGTATTGGAGGGGACAGGCACAGAGAGGTCAAGTAACTTGCCCAAAGCTACACATCTAGGAAGAGCAAAGGACGCATCCCCAACTTCCTTCCCTTTTCTCCTCTCCCTTCACCCCACTGTCTCCATTCCCATTTCTCTCTCCCACTCCCATCCTTAACTCTCGGGCTCTCTAGCATGGTACACGCATAAAGGGATGAATGAACAGTGTTTGTCTCGCATGTGCTTCTGATCTCCAGGAAGGCTTGCACAGGCCCAAGGATGGACTGTGGAGGAGGGTACATCAGCTCCACAGATGGTCCCCGCGTGGGAATGAGGTACCAGGAGCATGGGAAGGTTCAGTGGGAGCAAGAAGTGATCCCAGCTCCACCTGATTTCACACAGAGCCAACACAAAGGTCCCCAGCTGGGCAGGACCCACTCACTCTCCCTGCTTACCCACCCCCCAGGCTTAAATAACATGCTGTGCCTCTACACACAGATGCTGAAGACTAGGACTCCACAGACTGTCTGCGGGGCCAGACATCAGCCCTGACGCTGGAAAGGCAGATAGCCTCGGTCAAATCACTTCACCTCCCTGTGCCTCTGCTTCCCCATCTATAAAGAGAGATAACAGTAACATCTCTACCACAGGCCAGAGAAGAGGTATGGAGCAGGCAGGAGAACCCCTCAGGAAAACTTAACCATGGCCAATGCCCACGACCTGTGAGTAGATGACATGGCATGAGAGGGTCCTGCTGAGAGGGGCTACCACATTTCCCCAGGCAAAGTGGAAACTGTCTCCTTGATTTGCTTGGAAGGCGTGGCCACATAAGAACGGGCAAAGAAGAGACACTAAATATGGGGTGGAACACATGTCAAGGGGTGCAGAGGCCTCCAGAGGCCTGGATGGGCAGGGTGAGGAAGTCTGGCCTGAAGCCCACAGCAGAAATACTACTGCACTGAAGTTATGACTATTTCTTAAAGGTTCTCCACTACTTTGGAAGATTATGAATCTTTCTCTTTTGTTGTACTTTGTTTCCCAGAGACAAGGTTGTACTGCATAGTCTCGGCTGGCCTCTAACTTTTGGTCCTCCCATGGTCCTTTGCTGTGTAGGCTACAACAGTCTGAAGGGTGGATGAGCCCCTCAATGGCTTCCATTGGTTCCTCTAACAAACCTGTCACCAGAAGGTCCTGTTGGCTCCTCCAGTACTGGCCTCCTGTAGCCAACTCCTCTCCCTTCCTCATTATCCCAAACACAGTGCCCTGTGTGAAGGGACTATTGAGTGACATTCTTCCTGTAAGTCTGCCAACACCTAGATGACAGAGACCACTACGTCACTTAATGTCCCTGTACCTAGCACAACATCCCAGAATCTGGGACATATGCTACAATAGCCTCATGTCCTTTGAGAGGCCACCAGAGCTCTGTTTGCACATGTCCCTCTTGGGAGGGACCGGGAGCTGCACAGGGTGAGCAGCAGAAGGGCACATCTGGTGCAGCACCACTGTCTTCCCATGTGTCTTTAATGAGCATCTGATGGAAAGTTGAAAGGAATGTACCTTGCCTCAGAGCCAAGTGAGCACTCAGAAGGGCCTGCAGTTCTTGGTTCCCATCTGCTCACTGAACTGGAAGAGAGAGAATCAGCACCCAAGCCGAGACTCTGCAGAGGCATCCTGTAGTCAGTAGTTTGCCTGGCCTCTTGCACGTCCCAAAAAACTCACCCAGCTGGGGCGGGAAGGAGAGCTGCCTCAAGCTGACTAGCAAGTTTTCTACTGTTAGAATTCAGTTTGAGAAATTCCTGCTGAGACCCACTGCCTCACAGTCACCAGGGACAGCTGTGTGGGAAGGTACACAGACATTCATGTGGCCATAAAACAGACTGTGTAGCCTAGTCCCTGAAGGCTGCTCACACCAGTCAACTCAGGAGTGAGTCAGTTAACAGCCAAGGCTCACAGTGATTGTGTGTCCATGACTCAGTCACCCCAAATATGTCATGTATGGATTCTTCTTCATGGTCCAAACTCAAGAGTGAGTTACCTTTGAAAAACACCCATCAAACAAAAGATCCCAACATGGTGACTTTTCTGGACAATTTATATTCATGCCTTCTAGAAATCTTGCCATCAGGACACCAAAGCATATTCTAAGGTACTGGGCCCACATGAGTATGCATAAGTTTGGCCTTTAACTGGATTCAGTGAAGGCCCTGGCAGTCTACAGCCTGACCTAGTCCCTCTCTTGGAAATTTAAGGAATTGCCCAAATAGTCCAAGTTCTTCAGTCAAAGTGGACTAAAGGGAATGTATGTATGCCTCAACCTCATGCGAGGTCAAGATCACTGTGAAACCAGCCATCAACAATGACACGGTGGATGTCAGGGATGAGCTGGCAGTCAGGTCCTTGTGTCTTGACATCTGGTCACCACCTAGCTGGTCACTGGGCCGTGTTCACTTATATACAAATAAGAAAGAGAAAGTCTGTTCTATAGACACGGGGGTGGAAGGGAAAGGTCCACTATACTGGAAGGTGTGAGGCTTCTCCTGCATGCAGAGATCACGAGTGATGCCCTACAGATGGGGGCTTCTCCTGTATGAAGGCGACTGCAAAGACGAAACCTACTCCTAGTCTCTGTTGTACACAGGACAGATCCAGGATTGCCACTGTGCTTCCTAAATGATTGTGGTGGTATGAATAGGGATGGCTCCCATAGACTCACGTGTTTGAATGCATGGCCCATAGAGAGTGGCACAACTAGGAGGTGTGGCCTTGTTACAGGAAGTGTGTCACTGTGGAGGTGGGCTTTGAGGTCTCATATGCTCAAGCTACACTCAGTGTGGCTTACAGTCTCCTTCTGCCGCCTGTGAATCAAGAACTCTCAGCTCCTTCTCCAGCACCACGACTGCCTGCACACTGCCATGCTCCCCACCATATCAAGAATTGACTAAATCTCTGAATCTCAGTCTCAATTAGATGTTTTCCTTTATAAGAGATGCCATGGTCATGGTGTCTCTTTACAGTGATAGAAACTAACACAAGGACTGAACTCCAGAAACTCTATTCCTCAGTCCTGAGCCTCAGTTGGTGAACTTGTTTCATGGGACTGGTGCTCTTGGTGGACTTTCTTCATGGAGGCTTATGAAATAGGGGAGGGAGAAGCAGGAGGTGGAGGAGTGGATTCAGCCTCAGAGAACACTTTTAGTGATACAAGAGTGTGGTAGGTTTAGCTAGTTCCTAGAACTTTACATGCAAATGGCTTTGGCAGATGTAATTAAATTAGGGACCTTGAGTTGGGAGACCACTGCAGGTCTGGATGGTCCACTGGCCTCACAAGAAAAGGAGGGGTCTAAATTAAAGAAGACACGATGATGGAAGAGATGAAGGGCCAGAATACAGTGTCCTGGTTGGCCGCCCATGCTGAGAACCAGCCTTACAGAGGGTCCTTGTCAATGCCATCCCTTCAGGTGCTCAAGGGTCCTGCACTGACCACATCTACCTGGATGTTTAGTATTCTGTAGCTGTACAAGTGCCTCCTTCCCACTTGATTCTGAATGGTTCCAGATGGCTATGCCCTGGAATCATCCACGGAGTTAGTGAGCCCTTAGTGCCCAGATGTCACTACAGGTGAGTGACACCAGGTAAAGATAAGAGACCTTGTGATGTGCTGGGAGCACAGTGGTTTTCAGCACCCTCAGCAGCCTGCAGTGCAGACACGGTAGTAGAAATGTCTCCACTCACTAACAGGAGGTTAGGGATGAGACCAACTGCTGGGACAGTTAACTGAGCACACTGAGACTGCCTTCTTCAGTCTCACCTAGTCCTTTGCATGGTGATTAATGACATGTTTCCTGCCTTCATAAAAGAAGTAGACATAACACAAGAGACCTTGCTAAGAAAGTCTGGTCCACCATCACACATGTAAATGAGTATTATGACAGTAGTGATTGGAACCAGGGAAAATATTGGATCAGAACAGCAGTCAGGAAGTATAACCAACCCAGATGCCAAATTATTCTCTCTGTGTGTGCATGTGTGCACATCTGTGTGTATGTAGAGACCAGAGCACAACCTTGAGTCTACCTTGGTTTTCACTGACCAGGAGCTAGCCAATAAGCTAGGCTGGGTAGTCAGTGAGCTGTCTCCACAGCATGGGATTACAGGTATGTGTGACATTACATGTATGTGTCACATTTCTAAGTAGGTGCTTGCTGGGCAGTTGAACTTGGGTCCTCAGGCTTGTATGGCAAGCACTGTTATGACTGGGCCAGCTCTCCAGATCCCTCAAAACTGTTTTAATTTTGTAAATTGTCTATTTGTGTGTGTGTACATAGGCACATGTGCTCACGTGTGAACACACATATGGAAGCCAGGAGACCTTGTCCCTTAACATGAGTTCCAGGAACTAAACTCAGCATCACAGGCTTGTTCATTTACCCCTAGGCCCTCTTACTGGTCTGTTTTTAAAGGACACAGCTGCACCTGCCGGGGTCTGCATTGTCTCTGATGTGTTCAGCAGCACAGGTGATGCTGAGTGTTCCTACTGGAAGGGCACAGCCCACTGTGCCCAGCACACTGGCTCTCTGGCCCTTCACAGTTAGGTATCACGATGAAATAAGGGAGACTCGGCCACAGGAAGACTACCCTTCCCTTAGGCGGTTACTTTCTCCACTGGTTTTTCTAACACTGCAGGTTTTCTGTGGTGAGTCGTCTTTGAGGACAGACCAAAGTGCAGTAGTGACATGGCCCCTGGATGCATACCTTGTTTCCGATGGCCTTTTTGGGTGGGAAGTTGTAGGCCCTCACTTGCGGGAATGTGCTCTGCAGCTGGTGGTGCAGTGCCCGGAACTCAGTGTACCTCCGGTACACATTCCACTCGTCGTCCTTTATCCGGATGTAGATCTGCCAACAAGGGAGACAGGAAGACAGGCTGAGTCCTCACAAAGGCGGGTGCTGCATCACTCTGTCCACAAAGGGGCCACATTTGCCTCACACCACCGGGCACCAAGTACCTGGCACAAAATGGTGGTACTGACAGCACCAATGGACACCAGAACAAGGCTGTGAGGCATGTGACAGGAGAGCTCAATTGCAAAGTATGTCCCCAGCAGGCTGAGGGGCAGCAGGGATACAGTTCCCTGTTCACACGTGAGCTGCCCTTGAGAGACGGCATGGATGCATCTCCCTGGTCACATATGTGGCTTACAAGCTGCCCCAGGGACACAAATTCCACAGGCCTGGGGTCATGCTGACCACCACATAGTAGGTCAGCACACAGTAGGGAAGCTCATTTAAGACAAAGGGAAGTGAGGTCAAAATCTTTTAGACTGCTGAGGGGCCCAGCAGAACACAAGGCCACATCCAGTGGCTTAAGCACATGCAGCGACAGTTTATCTCAGCCATGTTTGGGACACTGTCTGAAGAACACTCAAGATGCTGCTAGGACATAGCACAGCCACTGGTAAGGAAATCTGAGAAATGGGAGGCTCATTTTATTTTTTTGAGAAAAGTTTCCCCATGCATACCTGGTTGGCCTGGAACTCACTGTGTAGAACAGACCAGATTCAACCTCACAAACATCCTACTGCTCTGTCTGCTGAGTGCTAGTATTAAAGGTGTGTGCTACTGCTCCAAGATGAAGTGTTTTAAAACCTAAGAATCATAGAGAGGACAAAGTCTCTGCACAATGACTATTGTACTTCATCACATAAAACAAGGGTCCCTATTTACAGAGCAATGGCAACAAACATCTCTACTGTGAGTCTCACAGTCTGACTGCATTCTTCATAATATATGTTTAAAAGCCAACTCCTTTTACTCAGCAGAAGCAAGAGCATGCTTACTACCCTGCTACAAGGATGCTTGGCTACTGTCCTTCTCTCCCCTATAGGCAGCCACACCTAGTTCTACAGGCCCCGTGTTTCTGCCCAGGACTCTTCAATCTGTCTCTAGTGCAGACCTCAGACATGAGCTGCAGCTCCAGTGTGCATCCGTACATTCTCTAAGTCTGAAGCCAGGCCCTAAGCCCTAAGACTAAGCTTCCTCTTAGGCTTTTACTGATCCATCTTCAGGAGCAAAGGCAATAACAAAACATGATTTTTTTGTCTCTACTGCTGCCTGCAAGCTGCCAGGCCAAGTCCAGAACAGTCTCCAGGAGCAGGGGATGAGATAAAGCTGATGGCTGAGAGTCGCAGGGCAGAGTAGGCTCTGGGGTTCCTGTTGTATCCACACTCCTGCCTTTGCTGGTATCCAGAGTGCATTTCTGGTGGCCACTATTATTATACCCAGAGGCCACTGATAACCAGGGGAACAAGAAGAGTGAGCTCTCAGCTCTGAAATGAGCCTCTGAACTCAGTGAGTGGGAGGTCCAAAGTTGAACATAAATGACAAACTCCAACCAAACATAAGACCTTGAGCACTGAGCACCTGTCATGGACTGGTGTTACACCAGGTACATAACATCTTCCTCTTGTCCTTGGGCTAAGTTGAAAAGCAGATGGTGGGAATGTATCCTCTTGAGATAAAGACATGGACTCAGAGAGGCAAAGTCACTTGCCGGGGGAAATGGGAAAATGAAGAAGGTGAGCCCAGAACTGTCTTCTCCCCAGTGTCCCATGTTTTCTGCCTCAATGCTCTGTGGCAATGGCTGGGGCTCACAGGGGCCTCTGAGACCTCAGACCAGCAGTGTGGCATTCAACATGACCTCCAGGTGTTCTGTTCTCCTTGCCAGAAAAGCCTGATTTCACCTTCTCGCACTTCACCCTTGGATCGAAGGATCTAATATGATAGAATAAAAATCCTCCATGTTAATAACAGCTGATCCCCCAACAACCTGTTCAGTATCCAAACCTGGGAAACTTGAGGTGCAGATGATGTGCTTCTACACCACAGGACTAAGCATGCATATACTGAAAACTGTTAGGGTCATTCATTCATTCATTCATTTTAAAGGGCTCCTCCCCTCCCATTTAAGTCTGACTGGCCCACTTTCCTCATCTTGAACCATGAAGACACTAACTCCTTGAAGGGAATGAAAAGCCACACAATCAAGCTCCCTTTTAAACAATGGATAAAACCATATATCTCTTGATCCAGCAGAAGGAAATAAAATCAAAGGGTGCTGCTGGGGTTGGCACTGGGGCTCAGTATCTTCTGCCTGAAGGGAAAATGATTTTGTGGAACAATTGTTTTGCACACTGTGAAGATGTCACTCTGGTTGGTTTTAGAAAAAGCTGAATGGCCAATAGCTAAGCAGGATTTCCAGGCACAGAGAATGCTGGGAAGAAGAAAGGCAGAGTCACAAGCAGATGCAGAAGAAGCAGGATGTGCATGCAGGAGGAGAGGTAACAGCCAAGAGCCAGATGACAGGATATAGATTAATATAAACTGGTTAGTTTAAGTTCTGAGAACTCGCTAGGAACAAGTCTAAGCTACTGGCCAAGCTTTCATAATTAATAAGAAAACTCCATGTCATGATTTGGGAGTGGGTTGGCTGGACAGAGGAAGACTTGCTACAAATAATGTCCAAAGTGGGGGCAAATATTTCCACATAAGACCATGATCTAAACTGTATGGCAGTTTTAGGTTTTGCTCATGCAGACAGAAATGGTTATAGATGCACAGTAAAGCAGATTCAACAGAAAATGAAAAAGAAACTCTAAACAGGCTATAGTGTGTATACAAAAAAATGTGTGAACTTAAAAAAAAAGAAAATGGATATAGGCAGACATAGAAAAAGTAATTTAAAATAATAAGATAAAGTCTTTAAAGAAAAAATAAAATAATATAAAAAGGATAGGCCACATAAAAATGAAAAATACACAGAGTATGGATCAAGTATGATATTATATTGACTTCAAAGTTTTTGATTGTTGATGAGCAACAATAGCTGCTGAGAGACATTGGATTATGAAAACATGTCAGATTAAACCACCCTATATATTTTTAAAATGTTTTCACTTCAAAATGGAAGTCAAAAAAATGTTACTTTGGGGAAGAGCCAGATTAAGCCACCCTATATATATTTAAAATGTTTTTACTTCAAAATGAAGTAAAAAAATATGTTACATTGGAGAAGAGGTTATTCTTTTGTTTCCATGGGAAATGAAAGATTGTGGATTCATCCAAAGTTGATAGAGATCAGATTTGATCAAGGAAGATCCCCTGAAAATCCTGGCTACAAACATAAAGAAATAAACATTAAAAAAATCACAAGACAGGTGATTTATACTTAACCTACTGAAACATAAAACAAAAAAAATCATCTTTGTTTGACTTGTGTACAATGCAGAGTGCAGATATGCATGTTACCTTTAGAAGTTTATGTGTTTTCAGAGCAAGGGAATGAGATACCAAGGAAAATGGGTAGCCCAGGTGATCTAGTATCTCATAGAGTCTCTATTGCAGTTTCCCCAGAGTTTGACATTCAGAACAGCTTCAAGGCTGCTGGCTGAGATGGCCCAGTCTCACAGACTATTCTAGTCAGGACCACAAATAAGCCTTGTGCTTCCCCATTGCACAGAGACTGAACAACAAATGCTATGGATAGTTTTTCCAGGATTTGATCATTATCTCAATATTCTCAGGTTCCATAAAGATGCTGTCACCCACAGTCAACAGGAAGCAGTCTAGAGAAACAAGATCCACATTCTGAAGATGTGGGGTGAATGGTTTTTGGTCATTTGGTGGGTTATGGGTATTTGTCATCATCTTGGAGGGGTGGTTACAAATTGTTATTGGTTTTGTTCAGGGAGAAAGCTAAACAAAGGAGATTAGATTCAAAGATCTCTTTCTGAAGGGAAAAGGGGAAATATGGCATAGAAATGATGGGGGAAAAGGGTGAGCTGTTGAGTCTATTTTTGAACAACCACTATTCCCAAATATTTTACACTGGTTTGGATTTTTGTATATTGATACAAATTTAAGGGTATACTGTGTTATATGCTTCTAATTCTTGTTTAAGATATTATACCTATACAGCTTATTTAAAAATGTAAAGTTTAGTCTTTAAAAGCTATTTAGAATAATAAAAAATACAGGTTAATAGTAATCTATAACAATTAAACTTGGAGTCAATATTTTCAAGGTCAGAGACATATTTTAAATATAGTCTTCAAATGCCTCAAAGACCTATAGAATATGGCATTTAAAATGTTTTAATAACAAGGCTTTTCATGACAGTGAAACACGTCTGCTCCTAGCAACACCAACTTACTTCAAAAAAGGATGACAGGCATCAAAGAACCTCCATTTGGAGTTTGCTTTCTTTGTGGGAAAAGCTAGCTAGCCATTTGTGCAAAGAAACTTCCCTTGCCTTGCTGACGGCAATATGTTGTACAAACTGGACAAGGAGAACACAAAGGAAAAGGCTGTTGAGCTTTGCCTATGTAAGGCAGAACTGGCCTTCAAAATTCCTGCTTCTTGGGAAAGTCTGCCAGATCTTCTAGGCTTGTATGCCAAAGATAGATGCCCCAACATTGCAGAGGAACTTTGAGAAGCCAGATGTCTGTTATTGCTATAAGTTTAGAAGTGACTTGCCCTGCACTTTCTGTTTACTTGGGTAATATTATATCCTTCTGGGGTCTATAATCAATAGGGACACTCCTCACAAACTTGGCAGGAGCTATGTATGACCCAGCTGAGGGTACACCACCGACACATACAGTACTCCAGTCTATCAGCACAAGCTGGGCGGGAGCTATGTATGACCCAGCTGAGGACACACCACCAACACACAGTACTCCAGTTTATCTGGACACCATTTACTACAGCAAATTTGAGAAATCAGCTTAGATGCCTATCAACAGCTGAATGGATAAAGAAATCATGGCCTATACAGTCACTTGTATTTAACTGTAAGGAATAAAATTAAGTCCTTTATGGGAATATGGATAGAACTAGAG